TATTTATTTTCTTGCGAAGCTGTCTCGATCTACACGTAAGTGGCGTCTCGATTGATTTTATGATTATTACACCAGAATTTTGTAATTATTAAAAGCGGTTACATAAGACGCGTGAGTGATATCTCGTTGGACGCGAATTGTGAAACATACTGTAAAAATACATAATACCCCTTGTAGTTTAGACTTTAGTAAAGGGTAAAACATATTTTTTGTTTGAATCAATTCCTTGAAGAACTAAAACTTAAACAATAGACGCAGGTCTCGTGAAAATATATTTAAATACATGCAAGTAACATTAGTGTCTAATTATCTACAGTATTGAGTATAGCTGTTCTAGTGTTGGTAAATGTTCCCACGTGCTGTATACGAGATACGCACAGACGGACACACTAATAGCTGTATATTGTTTTTATATTAATTGATAATTTACGTTGAGCCAATGTAAACATGATCGAAGAATTGACTGACCATTAATAAAGAATTATTTTACTTTACAATGTATATTTAGGAAACACACGTTTTATTTGAACCGAACCTTTAAATTCCCGAACGCACCCGAAGTGATGACATTTGTTTTGTTAACTTTTAAGCGGGAAAGTATTTGGTCGACGCGACTTGTGTCTTTGTAAATTGAATTTAACTTATTTAAGGGGTTTTGGTTAAAGATAATAATTAATAGTTTGTTCTAGTTATTTAAAAGTACTGGCTTTAGAAGACAACTAAGTATATTTTGTAATGATTTTGTTAGTATCCTAAATGTACAGTATAAAATTAATTGTAAGTTTTTCAATATATAATGCGTACGTGTGACTGTCACTACTTGTGGTAGACACGAGCTAAAATGGAAAGTGAAAATATGCGTCTGACATCCTGTCGCACGAGGTTGCAACATCTAACCTAGGCCTACTAGCGAAAATAAACTGCTCTGGACTGAAATTTACTTATTATAAAGGAGATAAACGAGTCTTTCTTGTTTACTTACGGAGAAACTTACATACTTTCAGTATTTAAGTAATATTACAACTTAACATTGGATTGCGAACATTTGAGATCAAATTTTCTTTCAAGTTGACATTCCAAAGCATGCTATTATCATGACTTACTTAAAAAAATCGTACACAATAAATTCACAATATTTGTGACAGAGAATGAAAAGATAAACATATTTGAATACATTTTGATATAGTATTTAGTGTTAGTTAGTTTCTTTAACCTGTAAAATATGTTTTATAAAATGATATTTATGATCACAAGGGGACATCTCTCTAGTGAGCCAAGTGTTGCAGATCTAATTAAAGTTTGTTAACACCAAGCCCAGTTGGGAGGAGTGAGTTGCAAATCTTATAATTTCCTAACAGTTACTTCCTTTTCCCGGTATGCAGCCGGTAAAAGTTCGCTCGAGTTGGGAAATAAGTTACTACACACAGAGTGGGACGGTAAAAGTGCTCGAAGCAAAATTGTTTAAATACACAGCGACCCGTATTATAAATGTCCAACGTGTTATTGAACCAGAATATATTTTTTGCGAATCACCTTGAGGATATCGAGTTTTATAATTCTTTATTTGTTTACTTAAAGACGATATAGGAGTGTCGCCAAAAAAATACTCCGTTTGAAATGTCAAGAAAAAAAAAACAAGATTTATTTTTGTCGATATCATAAAATTAAGTAAAATAAATTTATTGTTTTGTGTTTAATAATATTAGATTTGGTTATTAATTATTTCCGCGTACGATTCATATGATAATGTTATCTCTATAAATAATATCCCGTCAGGTGAGTGTGGTCACATGAACTGTTATAAACACCACACAGTAAAGTCTAAGCTATTTTTCCGAGTCATATGTACTTTCTTAGAGTATTTAGACATCGCTGATTAATGCATTCCCAAAGAGGGTTGATGTCAGGCAGGCGGCCGGTCGTAAAAACAATTAGCTAAAACTATTCACAACATGTAAGGCAGACCCTGGTTAAAGCTGGGAAATTGTCAGGAAGAAGGAGTCTTTACTCCTAGACTTTGTCTAAGTAAATAAATTCTAAAGATATTTACTCTTATACTCCTAACTCTAGCTAAACAGAATCCTAATGAAAAATTAATTGATAAGGAGCAAAACTGATGAAAGCTAATGCATAATAATAAAGAATCTAGATAAAAGTATAGGTGAGTTTTCTTGAAACAAAAATATGTATTTCATATATATCTATATTATAAGGAATAAAAGGGATGTTAAGTTGAAGTTATCATTAAATGGCGCGAGGGCATTGCGTGTTAGTGGACACGGCGCCACTCGTGACGACATTAGATTTTGACACTGAGAAACGAGCTCACCGAAAAAAATAATTACACAATACATAATTGCAATCGACGTAATATTTCTATGCACGTAATAATGTTGACAAATATTTGTTATGTGTTATAACCTTGGTTTAAAAAGTAGCACGGCACATATTGACTGGACTACACTATTAATATTTGTTAAATATTGGCATGGGGTTTAGTAAAGCCATTAAGGCGACGCGTCCATGCATATCATATGTGCATAAATCAATATACTATAATATTTAAAACAATTATTTTATATTCTTTACTGTTCGTCTCATCAGGTATGGAGTTCACATATAGTTTGTGAAATTTTATCTTGATGCCAATAAAGATTCCATTTCCAACACGGATATTGTAAACAAGAGCAAACAGTTTGAAAGTCACCTAAATATATTAAATTTAAATGTCAGTCCTGGTTCTTGGTTGCTAAATATGGTTTTAATTATGCAATGTTATTTAACGTTATTAAAACAATTATCCATATTCACATACTATTCTGTTCATTACTACTTACTGTCTATATTTTTACACGTTTTTTCATTCTCTCAGACTTTCAGTATTTTATTTTTGTTTTGTAGTATTAAGACGTAATATTATGTGCTCAAGAAGCCTCTGATCGTGGTTAAGATTGCTTTGTCTAAGGCGGCCAACCGTCCCGCATTCTGCGGGACCGTCCCGCAATTCTAGACGAAATCCCGCTTTGAAATTATTAGTTAAATAGTCCCGCAAAACGTAGTATGCGTCCCGCATGTCCCGCATTCCTATTTTTCTACCACACTTCTACACAACACCCATACCACGGCCAACAGTGTAGGAACACAGCTTACCTATGATAGGGACAGGCGTATCTCGTTTTCTTTCTTTCTTCTGAACTCGTGACGCGTAAGAGAGTACTTAAATTTAATATGAGCAGTTGCGAAGATTTTTATGACATTCCCAATTCCTAACACCCCCCCCCCCCCCCCCCCCGCCATTCAAGTAAAGTCCCGCATTCAGGTTTCGAAAAGTTGGCCGCCTTAGCTTTGTCGTCTTCACCGCTTCCCAATTAACTATATTCATTTATATATTTTTGAATATTATGGCTATGCCCAAGTAAGTAAATGAATAAAAAAACCTATTTTCAATAAAGCCTACGATTAAAAATACACAGTTTAATAAGCTTTAACCAATTATATCCGCTTGAGTGAAGCTCGACTTGAAATACCTGTTTATGTTTTTAAAAGAATGTCTTAAAAAAATTATAAATTCCTCTATTAGTGTCAGATGATTTATGTATATTTGTAAATCTTATTATTCAAAGTCAAAGAATGAATCATGTTTTCAGATCGTTTACGTTTTTGCTAAATATTTAAAATATATTTGGTCACAGTCTATTTCTCAGCAATGCTGTGTGTTTATGTTTAGGTTGTACCTACTTATTATAAAAAAGATTGAGAAATTATAGAAATTTGTAACCAAGGTTCGTTAAAGTGATATTGACAATTCGTAATAATAACAAATTTGTTATTACACGAAATATAGTCTTTTGTACTCTAACACTCCGTTAATAATGAAACTTTATTTAAATATTCAGCTACTTGATAAGAAAACGTACTCGAGGTTTTAGACAGTGAAGATTTGCTATTTTAACGAAAATTTATGGTAAGCAGTTATGACCATACATAATTAGGACAAAACTGAAAATGCCCTTATAAATATGGTTTATAACCTAAACATTTTTTTCATAGAAAATTGTTTAGAGATTTCTTCTGTAATTTCTAAGTAGTAGGTAGTTAAAGAAGGAAAAATTTCATAGGCCTCGTTTTAACAACATATTTCTAAATAGTACATCACGATAGATCTATAGACTTTGGTTTTATTTTTAACTCGAAGTTCTCATCCGATGTTTACTTTAAATATAATGAAGACAAATATCTGGTTATACGAACATATATGTCATCAGTAAACATACGACAGACGTCGTTGAAGGCATTTCGATGTAGTTAAATAATGAATGATATGGATTATTAACAAAAAAAAATAAAGTAAAGCTCTGTATACGTACAGGGTATTTTATATTTCTTTAGATATTCATTTTTTTTGTCGCAGAACGAAGTTTCTACATGTTTTTTACATAATCTTGACAGTTTTTTTTTGCTAAAACTTAATATGTTAACGAGATATAAAAAGTAGATGTTTTTTATGTTATGTTATTAGTTGATAAATGAATCGATATATGTAATGCAGAATAACTATATTTTATAGAGTAGTTATAATTACATATATTTAAACCCTGTGGTACACATTTAACAACTGCCTGACGAAAGTTATGTTAGCGCCTTCGTGAAAGGGAGAGTTGCTTACTCAATTCTGTTATGAAATTGCACATGTGTGCCCGCGGTTTGGAACAAAAAATGTGTAACTTTTTTGACTTGTTTATGTATAAAAAATGAAAATTCTAAAAAATCCTTTGATCGCTTGGCAGATAAAACATAGTGATTTTCTAAAACATTACATTGTTTTTGGTGAAAACAGACGAAATTTATGTAATGGTATTCAAATGTACCGCTTACGTAAAACGGTAAATCTCTCGACAACCGACTTAAGCTGGCTCTCTACTGTATATAATAATATTAATAATAATAATCGTATCATTAATTATAAACATCAGAAAGACTTTTTAAAGTTAAGAACTTACTTTTCAAAGCCCAGAGCCGTCTTTCGTGTAGTCCTTGAACGTACTCCTGTAAATTCTTCCTACAGTCTCCTGTTACCGAATGTTTGAGTTTATCCCACTGCTGCATCAGAATTTCGCTATCCAAAATTCGCAACATGCTCTCGAGGCCCATCATCACTGTTTCATTTAGCTCGGCAGTTTGTATTTTTGGTTCGATTGTCTCTACCACATGTCGCACGGGGACTGTAGTTTTGACCACGGCGTTCGGTTTGATCGTCGTTATTTCCATTGGTTTCGTCGTTTTAACTATATGTTGCACGTTGTGTGACTTCTCCGTAGTCGACACTCTCTTCTCGGTCTCGACATCTCCGAAGACCTCAGAGAACGTGAGGCCATCGTCATCAGCGAACAAATCAAAGCTATCAGCCGTCGTTTTTTCCGTCTTGCTCATATGAGGCACGGCGATCCTGGAGCCGATGAGGTCCGACGCTAGGTCATCATCCAGGCCACCTTTGCCGGACGCTTTTTTTATATTCTGGAAAGCGTCTATCAGAGCGCTTCTTAATTTCTCTTCTCGTGCACTCTCCCTAGTATCGGGTTCGGGGGTGACACCGAAAACATGGGCTGTCAAAACTAAAAAAATTAACACACGATACATTTTAATTTGAATCACAGGCACATGCTGGTCTAAAGTTATTTTTATAGCACGATTAAGGCTCGGTATTATAGGAGTCAAAGGTGCGCTCGCGACGGCATAGTCGATATGACTGAGACGGTGGCCAGGCGGTGCCTATGACATAATGTGGTTACGAGGTACGAGCGACGGTCACTTTCACTGTCGAGCTGACGCGGGCCGCGGTCCACTCACGGGACGGGACGGAACGGGCCAGCTCGCAACGGAACGAGCTCGCATCCTGTCAAGGAAGACGCAGCGCGCCCTTGGACTTTATACGTTATAATATTAATGATTTGTACCAACATCCTTCAGTGACTTTAGTTATGCTTCTCTCCTTGAATTAACGTTATGTTAGAGTTTAAACGCTCAAATTTACTTTTAAAATTTTGATGACAATATAAGTAGATTAGATTAAAAGCAACTCGCGTGTCTTGTACTTTAACTAACATTGGTTTAAATCAGTTATTGTCACTGTGAACTTGCAAGTAATATTGCAAATCTTATTAAGTTTATAAGACTTATAATTGTATATTATTCCAACACTGACTATTATATTTCTATCAAATGATTCTCAGACTGGGTCGTGTGTTTCAAAGTATAAAGAAAAAAGAAAATATTAAATTTGCCATAATTGTATGTTTCATACGTATATTTATATTTTTCTAGGGCGTTGAGAAACACGATTTACAAATCTTTATTAAAATATGATATTCAATTTTAGTGAGATCTGAATCAATTCTATGTTTCTTGCTACTTGAAGTTTATACTGTAACATAATGAAGTTAGGAGTTGATTTAATTTAGAGTATTTTGCAGATACGAATGAAAAGTGAACTTATAAAATATTTAGGTTATTTGTGTACTTTATAACAATGCATGGGATCATCTATTTTCTATACAGAAAATTAGCATCGTCCAATTGAAAGAAGGAACTTAAGTATAATCAAGATGTAGAGGATAATAGAATTGTATAGAAAGAAAAATAAAAATCTTTAAGGCTTTCTGAATTCCCAAAATTTGATGAAAGGCTCTATATACAGAGAGGCACAAAAGAAACGAGACTATGTGACTGAGATTAAGTGACTGGTCACTAAACTCTGCTCAAAGGCCCCTGAAAATCTGTGATATTCGCATTAATAAAAATATAATACCTCAAAACTATAATAGTATTATTACGACTAACATCATAAAATATTTCAACAATCACTTAACTTAAACGATCCTGTGAATCGAATTTCTTTTAACGTTTCAATGGGTCATGGGAACGTTACCAATTTAATTCTGAGAACGTATATACTTGTCTTTGTTTTCGTGTATATATATGACATATTGTAAGGGAACCAGTTGCACAATATTTGGTTACATAATGCTCTGTTCATTTAATTATATCTCCCGATGTTACACAACGGTATTGTCTCGATTTCTTCTACTTTCTTCGCACGTCAGGCTGCTGGTAACACGAGCTGATCGCTCTTATTTACATGAACATAAAGGTCACCGCGGAAGAACTCTTGCAACTTGTTGGGAGCGATCAGGGTTCTTGTTACACTTACCCACTGTACATTTAATATATTTAATACAGATATATATTACATATAAGTACGTAATAAATAATGTTCATTAAATTTTCTATTAACACAATTTTTAATGCACACATGATTAGTATTTTTTATATTATTTGTGTGATATTTCACTTAACTGTAATGTCTGTAGTTATTGTCTTATATATTATATTTATTTTGTTATTACAAAACATATTTAGAATCCACGTTTAGCAAGTTGAATTGAATGTTAATTACAAAGAGAGATTTTAGTAGTAGCCAGACCCTGGCTAAGGCTGGGAAATTACCAGGACGAAAAAGAAAGAGAGATTTTCAAACTCTAGTAATTGTAAACCTAATTTTTTGAAGTACAAATCAAGCTTTGAAACATTATCTTTAAACTTAATGATTGCCATTTTATACTTTACATTGTAATATGTAGATTTGCAACGAGTTGCACATGTAGCCGTAAGAGACTTCGCCAAAAGAATGCAGCCGATGTATAGAACCAAAATTGTAAGGAGTATCTTTAAAGTATTTATTAATAACAAACTCTAATACAGCCGATATTTACAATAGGTATTACTGAAGCTACAAATTGATTTCAGTAGCTTTACTCCAAGCTTAGACATCATAAGCACATATGTATTCATTGAAACAAAGCTATATTTATATTTAATGTGTCATGAATCAAAAATGACGAAACGTTCAGTTGGGGTGAAAATGTGAACTCGTAAGAATATTCACATACAAGGAAGTGTTCTTTTTCATTGTGAAACCCTTTTACGTCACTTTTGATTTCTGTCAAATCAAATAATATGTCATATTTGTGACAGCTGGGACGATAATCAAAATTCATTGTTGTATGCATTGTTGCACTATTGTTCTTCCTCATAGACTCTATACTTGTCTATAATGTTATATCTGTCCCCATTTACTTAAATTACAACGTAATACTTGAGTGTTGCGAATTTTTTAATACATAAGTAGACGATGACCTGAACCAGATTCATGGTGTTCAAATTATAATCTCGTTATAAAAATCACAACACATTCGAGGTTTCGACAGACGAGGAAAATGTTATTTAACGATACAAATTTAAAACATCGTGTTTTAGTTCGATGGATTTATAATTTTTTGCGTAATTCTTACAAATGTTACGTGTCACGTCGTAAAACAAATCGTATAAAAGGATTTTGTTTGTTCAGTTTACAAAATGGGAAATTTTATATTGCTTTAATTTCATTTATATCGACCACCACAAAAATTAGGTTCAAGCGAAACTACACTTAAGCATGCAACACTGAATAATTACAATCTTTGTTTTGTTTTCAAAGAAATTTTTCCTCATTACAACACTGGCCAATTAACGAATTGCAGTAATAAGGAGCATTGGAAAGTTAGTTTTATTAAATATTTCATAACTTCGCGTGAATTATAAAACAGAAAAAAATACTAACGACCGGCGAGATAAAATAACATTTTAAATAATTAATAACAAAATGATAATAATCATGAATGAAATTATCTACAACTTAGTTTTATTATTTGTGATTTTGTTGTATTATTTTTTTATATATTCTTTACCCAGTAACACATCAATTAGTACTCCTGATGTCAATAAACTACCGTCCGTGATCTTTTTGGTGTAGCCTTGAATTTAATACATCCCATTATTGTATCCGCCAGGAAAAACCTTACAGGGGAAATTATTCCATATATTGCTTAAAAAGAATGGCAATTAATTAAATGCATCCAGGTAGATGATATTCTACCCTGGCGAGTGTTGTTACAATAATGAGAGGTGTGACGGCGGCGAGACACAACATTCTCCATTGTATACAATGTATAAAGGACAAACACACACTTAGAAAATACTTAATACTTAGCCGCTTTAATGACTTAGCCTCAGCTCGTTGAAATCGAATTGGAGAAGTTAGTACTTCGAGTCTCATGCAGTACCAGGATTGACAATGTTGCTTCAGATGTACACAAAAAAATAATTTGTAAAGCTTAAGCCAGTCATAAATTAAGTAACTTCAAGAAAAATTACTGATGAATCGTTCTATTGTTCATTAATGTCAATTATCTAATATCGTATGTATTGTTCATGTGTGACTTTTAAGTTTACTACTAACGCCATCTGTTGTAGGTTTTCTGAATTCGACAGATATGTATGTAATTATCATTTATACGTTTAACATACCAAGGAGGTTGTTTTCACATAATATATGTAACAGATCCCATACATTTAAATTTACGAAAGTATAATTAACTCTGCGTCGTTGTTACGTAACAATACATGTGGCCGCTGATAGAAAGTGGGCTCGGATAATACTCGGACTGAGGATTGAAATGGTGGACGTTAAATCTGATATCAAATAATATTACAAAATATCAAAAATATTTTTTAATGTATTTGGTTAATTGATTGTAGGATTTCTCAACTATTTCTCAATAGTAGAATTTCTGATTTAACTTCTCATACGATTATCTCGGTTATGTAATTATAGAGAATTATGGAACACGCGACCTGTGTTCCGTGTTAAAACAAAGACGATGAAACAAGAACAAAATTAAAAACAACACGGGCTTAAAGTTTTAACCTTACTATATACGGGAGATAATAATAGACTTAGTTACTACAAAGGGCACTGTGTGAGAAATTCTGTTTCAACAGAAACGACAGGTATTATTCTTGATAGGCTATAATTGATAAAAATATACAGAATGTTCATAAAACTAGCTTTGGTTCTTTGCATATTATGGCGATACGCGAGGCCGGGTAATTGGTAATACCCGGGTCGTTATACGAAAGGTATGTGAGATACCTACAGCTGATTAAAGATATGTATCTGATTGTTACCGTAATTACAATACTCAAGTCCGCTTCGGAGATGGATTACAGGCAATTTTGAAATGGCGGTTGACTTGCAGAGAGGATTGGCTGAATTTTTTGCCTTCATTCCTATAAGTTTGATTGCCTTGTTCTAAAATAGCATGGGCATATTTTTGCGTACTTTCTACCTATCATATTTGATAAGACGCCCTTCATAATAAGACCTTAAAGTAATCAAAACTAAAATTTAATATATGTTTTGGGACTCTTGACATGTTTTCAGTGAAAAATATAGAACCAAGAGGTGGAAGATTGTTGTATTGCAGTTTTGTTATCTTAGGTAACTTCTGTAGGATCATTGCGAAATTGTTCTAGATATCGGCTGCAAAGATAACTTACATGTATCAAATATCGAAAGTTTTTATAGATTATATTAAGAGAATAAATGAAACAAAATGAGGGTGAATATGCGATGAGAACTGATAATGAAATAATGGATTTATAGCGCCGGGAGTGAAATGGTACGAAAGCAAAAAGAATTAAACCACAAAAGAAATTCAATTTTAATAACACAATATTGTAAACCTGGACACAGTTTAAAAAAGTTATAAGGAATGTTTGTATTTAATATTACTGGAAAGTACATTTTTACACATTAAATATTTTCTGTTTAATCCAAAAAAGTAATGTAATGATCTCATTAAGACATTTAACGACGGAAGGTGTGAAAGAATGACATACAAGATTTTCGTAAATTAAATGAAACTATGATTTTCGGATAAACTTCTTCAATTTATTCGTCTTTTAAGTTACTTTATAGAAACCGTTAACATCTTAATACATATATCCGAAAATCAGTTGCATTTGAATATGTGAGGCTCAAAACCTATGGACTATAGACTTGTAGAAAGCTGTATTGGTCGAAAATATGTTTTGGATGCTAATATATCTTTTACAATTCAATGTCCTTTCTGCAGTCGTAGTATGTTTTGTGAAGATCGTTGAGGGTTACACGTCAAGCAGATTTAAGCGATATGATTCATGATAACCTTTGAGAATATCTTCCGTCTTTTCCCGAGTGTTCAATCTTCGTAAGTTCTCCGTAACTTATACTAAACTCGTCCCAGTCTTGAGGTCTGATAAGTTACGGGTTAATTCTGTCTTCTGTACAAGGATTATTCAACTTTCCGAACATAACAGTGGTTTAAAACTATAATAATAAATTATTACAACTACTGCTTTTAGACGTCATAATGGAAGTGATTTAATTTTTAATCATGTTTCAAAGTTAAGACTGGTCCACGGCCTAAAGGCATTCTTCAAGTCTAAGGTATTCGTCATAAAAAGCTTCTCATTATTCTGATGAGGTTAACAGTTTAGTCATACTAACACTGTATACAAAACCAAGCTTATAGTATTCATGTTTTATTTAGAAAAAATCTTTGTTCACATTTTTTTAATTAACAAAATAGTACTTGATTGTCATCTTAGGTACCTGTTGATAAGTAAAAAATGTCGCCGTTAAATGTGAATGTACTATCTCAAGAACATATGACGTATCAGTAATAGCATCGTCTCGCCGGAAATTTAGTATAGAAACATATCTGCCGACACGAATAAGATACAAAGAAATAACGCATCTCGCTCCAAACTACTGACTTCTACACACAGATTTTCTTTTCACGGTGGACATGAGTTATTAGGAGTAGGATATATCGATACATACTTAGACACACAGTGGTCCGGAACATTTATTAAGAGACGATCTATGCAATTGGCGTCATGGTTGTGACTTGTGAGCCCCTTGAACCCTTATCTTATATCTTCTAAGAGTTAAGACTCAGACTATAAGCCAATATCCACAGTCAACCCCCAGTGTTTTCGGCCATCTTCTGAAAACAGTAATGATGAGCATTGAAATCTCCTAAAAAAATATCAGCACTGAAGGATACCGATTAGAACCACTTCAGGACTTTCAATAAATGATTCAAGTAAACGAGTCCTCGCCTGGAGTGCTGTGCGATACACTCTATATGCCAGAGGGGTCCTGAATCAAAACAAAATCCTCAGGTCCAGATCAAGAGTCTAGTAGACACTGCAAGTTCCACAAGGATCGCAATCGGATGGGTTAGTCAATAACCAAAAGACCCTATTCAAACAACACACCCGATCCCGACGACTTAGTTATCTGAATTACTTTCTCGTAATTTTCTGGTAACTACAATACAGGCCTTAGACGATAGGCAGCCTACCGAGACAAACGATTAGTTTTATGTAATAATAATATAAATAAGATATTTTAAGATAATTTTAATATTTTGTAATATAAATAAGATATTTTAATTAAGATATTTTAGAATAAGATATTTTAAATAAGATATTTTAGAAGAGATCGCTGTTTTAGCGATAAGGCCGCCTATTTGTACATTTTCCTTTTTTTGTTTTTCTCTTATTATTTCTGTCTATATTGGTGTACAATAAAGAGTAAATAAATAAAATAAATATTTTAAGATAATTTTAATGTTTTATTATAAAAATGCAAATTATACTTGTAGTTTTCTTTACTAATTTAACTTATAAATATCTTGGTTTAAGAATAGCAACAGTTGAGTTTCTTCATTGTGTCTCTTCCTAACATTCAGGCACTTTTAAATCGGTTGTAGCTTGACAACAAACTTAACTTTATTTTATAGAATTTACAAAAAAGAAAAAATTGTAGCTTTAATGTAGACTTTATTAAATATATATCTGCATTACTTTATCTGTTAAATTAAATTCCAAGGTTTGTATTGACGTTTTATTTTGAAATGAATATCAAAATATGAATCTAACGCAATAAATATGAATGTAAATATGCATATATTCACACATGCATATTTACTTATAGGCAACCATGTATAAACACTTCTCATTTTTCGTTTTTTTTAAGTAGAGCAAATATTTTTGTAAGATAGGGATTATTACCGAAATTCTTACGGTAAAAAGGTATAAATCGTAAGGAATAATAAATAGTGACTGGGTTCGTAAGGACCATTATTTTAATATAACCTGATACTTACTTAAAGACTAAGACCCTAAGACTGTACGCCTCTGATACAAAATGATATTGTCATTTCAGTATCACTCACTTTAACTGTCAATGTCACTGATAGCAAAACATAAAATTTAATTTGAATTTAATTTCGCGCCCGGTATCACACAATTGGGATAATAATTAATGGTTGTTAATTAGAGTGGAGTTATTTATATTTATAAAACATTTAATCTTGTATGACAATATATATTATTGACATATTTCCAAAAGGTGAGTATGTAGTAGAAAATATGTGCTACAAGTATTGATTTTTTGAGGACTTATGTTTATCATTTTATTTTGTGTCGAAGATGTTTTTTTACATGTTTTAGTAGCCGTGTCTGTTGTTTTAGAATAAATGGCGAAACAAATCGCGGATGTTGAGATTCACGCGAGCGACACTCGAGACTTAGAGGACGATAATCTCGATGTTAGTGTCGATCTCATTGACGATGGATTGTATTTAGGTATGTGTTGTAAGAAAAGTTACGACAAGGTAAGTTATGTTGTAAACGTTCAAATATAAAGTATATTATTATCAATGTTTGATTTAATTAAAGTTCTTAGTGATATTAATAATAAGAAGCTCTTCTTGTTGTTATGAGACTGAAAAATAACTTAAATTACTATCTAGGTAACCTAGCATGTGCAAGAGATCACAAGACTCTGGAACAGCTGGGTGTAACTCACATCCTTACTGTTGACCTGGTGCCACTTCCCAGGTCGATATTGGATCAAACCAGTCTCATTATCAAATATATAAAATGTGAGTATGATGCTAAAAATATAAATTCTAAACAATTATTTCAGTTTTTTCCTACATATTTGCTTGTTTCACAAAACATTTTTATCATTAACCATTTTATCAAAAATATCTATAAAGATCACTGATTTGTAACAGACTGATTAGATTTACATCTTTATGCTTTTAATATTATCAAATAATAACAATTTAATGTTATATTTTTCAGTGGCAGATGTACCAAAGGAAGACCTCATCACTCATCTGCCGGAATGTAATGATTTTATTAAGGATTCCATCGCAAATGGAGGAAAAGTTTTGGTACATTGGTGAGTTTAATGGATATGTAATTTCAATATAATATTCAACATACATATATTTCTACTTGTATCATAATTGCTATATTTTTATAGACCTCTGTATATAAGACTGAACTCTTTTATAAAATCCAAAATAAACTCTTGGATTAGTGAGAAACCTCTATAAAATAACAAAAGATAATGGTCTTACTTATCCAGACTTATCTGTCTTTATTACAAATGTAAGATATATTCTACTAGCACTTCTTTTAACAACATTAACATTTTTTATATTACGAAAATTAAATCACATTTATAAGGTTAAAGATAGTTTCAAAGTAAATTTAAGTTCCAATGTACATATTGGAGTATTTGATAATGTTTATTTAGTTGATAAAAGTATTTTACAAATTACACCCAATATTTATTTCTATCACAAATATTATAGAGTGCTTGAATGTTTCAGTACCAATACAAACTCTTTATAACTAGCTGAAGAGACCTGCCTGTATTGCAATCTGTAATAAATAGATAAAAAGTTAGGACAATATAAATAAAGTTTTTAAAAATATATCCATAATTTAGTCCGAGATCACATAAGTTTATAAAATCTTTAGAATGAAGTTTTATTAACTTTATACTCCTTTATACTAAAAAATATATATTTATAATGCTAATTAATTCACAAAACTTGTTACAGTTACTTTGGTGTGTCAAGATCAGCGGCGGTGGTGATAGGATACATTATGGAGAAATATGGGCTGTGTTACGAAGATGCATTTGTACTGGTCAAGTCCAAGAGAAGGTTCATTGGTCCGAACAACGGGTTTGTGGCTCAGCTCAAACTGTTTGGACATATGGAGTACCGACTGAATAGAGACGACCCCAGATATAAACAGTTCAGATTGAAAATGGCTGGACAGAAATTGAAACAAGGTAAGCTCATATATATCTAAGACCTTCGTGAGTATTCATTTATATGAAAGTAATATTTTTCGGATCATTACATCTCGTCTACCCGTGATCATGGTTGCTGGAAAGTAACCAAAACGTTGGAAGTAGTTTTTACAATAATAAAATACGCGTAGTATAATCCAAAAATATTAGTTTCATTTAAGCTAAACTCTTGCAAATACTTATAAGAGATTGTATTTAAACTATTAACGAACTAAATAAATGTGACATTAACCTATATAAAAATTGTTAGTTGAAGATTAAAAAGATACTGTAATGCCCTTAAGTATTTTGATGTCCATTTCTGCAGTAATGTTATCAAATGATTTTCTATCAATAAGTATTACTTATTCAAACTAATGTGTATTTTTCTAGTAAAAATTCTGCCACAATGCTTCGCGGACTTGATAAAACCAGATCCTGGATTGATAAGAGAGCGGCCGGACCCGATAGTATACCGTTGCAAGAAGTGTCGCAGGATCGTTGCTAGCCAGAGTAACATCATACCTCATATACCAAAGCAGGTCAAGGTGGAATTAGCTAAGAAGAACATGAGACCGCCGCCCAATAAACACACAGGGTTGAACTGTGCAGAGAATGGACAACTGTTGATAGAGAAACTGAAGAATTTAGCGTGTCAGATGATGGAGAGTAAACTAACAGATGATGACAGTCCAGGGAGGAGTGAGGAGAGTGGCCAGGATAGTGACGGGGCTCATGTATGACTTGATTATTATTGATAGTGATGAACTAATGTTGATGAAATTCATCAAGTTTCTAAAGCTAACCGAACTTGTTAAAGATTGGATGGTATTAGTTGAAGTTTCTTTTGATGATGACAGTAATTTACGATCACCTACTACATCTTTAGATAAATTTTTGTCAGTTAATTGGATTTGAAACGATTTTCACTCAGAACCCTTAACAAATTCATACATGAAACTGAGATAACCATAGATCTTTAATCTAACTTGGTTTTGCTGTAACTACATAGACTTTACCTACTAACAAATTTCATAGCCGCTACTATTTTTCAGACTGGTGATGAATATATGGAGCATAACGTAGATGGCGCCACCTGTCGTCTGGGACCTAACGTCTGTAGACTGATGTGGTTTGTGGAGCCGATGTCGTGGATGAAAGCCACCAGCTCGCCGCAAGGGAGACTCGCCTGTCCGAAGTGTGGAGCCAAGATAGGCAGCTACAGCTGGGTTATGGGTGAGAAATGAGAAATAATATTGAATGATGAGATAGTCAGTTGACAGGTGTCAATATACAAAGTGCGTCATTTGATACATGAGAAACTACATATATAGATAAAGAATGTAATACCGTCTCTCATTTAAATGAGGATAGCACACTTGTGAAAGAGACAATGCTTTACGACATATAAACATTAATTTTAATATTCGCAATGTTTGCTATTTACAATTAGATCTATTTAAAAAAAAAATTATTTTGTCATTTATCGGTTAACATGATTTATTTCAAGCTGTCATTTGTATGAAAAATATTATTATTATATTTCCCAGGTTGCAAGTGTCCGTGTGGCCAGAAGGTGGCGCCAGCGTTCTACTTGGTACCATCCAAGGTGGAGTGGTCAAATATAGTACAAAATGTTCAAACAACCGTGTAACTTACTAGTCAATATCTTCCAATGCATCTCCTGTTTCTATAGTATTGTTTTACAAGTGTTTAATATTCCAAGATACTGTTATACATATATAATAGTTTGCTCAGATCGTTGTCTTAATACTGTTTCTAGATGTAAACCCGGGCTGAAAATTTTTTGGTCGTTCATTATCAGTGTTTGTTGATATTTCCATGTTTTATATTTCCAAATGTTGACCTGATTAGTGTTACATAGTCGGTGCTTTCTATACTCTGATATTAAAAGTTTATGTCTATGTTACAAAATGTACAAACAAATATACTGTTATTTATTTATTTATGTAGTTTTATTCATTCTTAAATTACTTACAGATTAAAACAACAATATTCTAAATTCTGACTAGAAGTTTGACTAGGGCTTATTTTCTATTAGACCTAGAAATGTTTCAGTATTTTGAAACATCTTTGGGATTAGAATAATAATAATTCATACTATTAAACAATTTGATACTAACAACATTAACACACTAATAACAACACTGTAGGAGAGTCAACTTGTTTCTTGTATATTCCTTTTTCTCTAAGTGTTCCTTAGGACCTCATGGCTCATAGACCTCTCCCCCCCTAAATAGGCCTTCCATCACTGCGCATGCGCGGTATATCCTGTAGTGGCAGCCTGTGAGCCCTCATGAGGTGTGTTTTCCGTTTCCAGCTGTCCGGGAAGGAGCGAGTACATCCCGGACACTGGTAGGGCAGCTCTCCTGAGTGTGTGCGACTGTGGCGAGCCTGGCATGTAGAAATATATAAGAAATGTTACATTCATGTAGTTATTTTATGACTAGCAGTTGATAGTATATTTAATTTGACTGTATTGAAACAATACATACGTTCATCTAAATGAAACTGAAATTTTTCGGATATTCTTTGCGTGATCGCGGTTGCTAAAAAGTAACGAAACGTCCGAAAAAATATTAATTTCATTTAAATGAATAAATCTCGCGAAAATCTTAGATTTCAATACGTACATTGTATAGAATGACATAATGTAACCGCATTGTTTTCATTTCTGCTATATCCCTACTAATATTATAAATGCGAAATTAACTATGTCTGTTTGTTACGCTTTCACGCCTAAACCACTGAACTGATTTTAATGAAATTTGGTACAGAGATGGAGTTGACCTTGAGAAAGAACATAGGATAGTTTTTATCCAAGATTTCAAAGGTTCTCTTGGAAACGCGATATAACCGAACTCCACGTGGGCGAAGCTGCGGGCGGAGAGATTCCATAACAATAAACTACAGAGCTCTTTTAAATGACGTCACTCTAGGTTCATAATGATTGTATATCATAGTACCATAGTACTCACCAAGCCACTAGCATCAAAGAAGCCCTTCCTACACTGTTCACACACATACAGCCGGGCTCCCTGGTGCCGACGTTGGTGTCTCCTTAGTGAAGAAGCAGCGGACGAACGGAACCCGCATTGAGTACACGCGTGGGGCTTGGCGCCCGTGTGAGTACGGAGGTGGACTTTCAAGTTACTGGCTGGAAATAAATAACTTTTTAATTATAATAACAGATGGCGTGACTAACACTGGATAAATATCAGACAGATCCATAGAATGTTTATTATAACTTGAAACCGATGATACGTTCTTATAGGAATGAGCGACTTGGCGTTACGGCCAGAGTATATGGAGTTGTGTGATATACTTTAAACTACCTGTTATCCGCGACTCCGCCTGCATAACAAAAAAAAAACAGAAAAATCTTTTAACCGCTCCCTAGGCGCCCCGCCCCGCCTTCCACTCGCGATCTTGATAAAAAGTAGCTTGAATTAATCCTTTTACATCATCTACCTGCCAGTAAAAATTCCGTCAAAATCGAAATATGTAGTTACATATATCAGAAGTTAGCCAGAACAAACAGACCAACAGACAAAGATAGTAAAAAAAATATAATTTGGTTATTCACGGTTGACGGTATATATTTCCACATATTCATTAATAAAAACCTAAATTTCCACATATTCATAATCAAAGTTATTTAAATATTACAAACATAAACTCCAATTTTATTTATATGCAGTATAGATTAAAGAAGCTTTAACATAAATACTTAGTGTTAATTTATGATAAAAATAACAACTGTTATTTAGAATAATTAAACCTTGTGCAAAGCTCCAGCCACAGTATGAGCACAGGTACTGCTTCACATTGTCATGTACCTTCATATGAGATTTTAGAACACTCTTATCTTTAAACCTGCAATGAAAAGAGTTGACAATGAATACTTTTATTTTTAGTAAAACAGACTGTTTGATTGAATGTACCTTTAAAATATATTAAAATGAAAGAATCTTAGTTTCATGACAAGAAGAATCTATTGTAATCTGAAGATAATTAAATCAATAGCTAGTCCTGCACAATATTTAAAACAATAATATTAAACAAGAACAACAACATTTTAAAAAAATATAAAACATGACAAACCTTCTTGAACATTTATCACAAGCAAAAGGTCTAACATCAGAGTGTGATCTTATGTGTATGGTGAGCTGTTTCCTTCTCTTGAAACTCTTTCCACAGGTGAGACAGGGGAAATTGCGCTCCTCGGAATGGGTTGTGGAATGATAAGCTAATTGAAACGGCTTTGAAAATGCTGAAATGATAACATTCTTAATTAGTATGCTAAATTGAAAATTTCTAATTAGTTTTATTAATGTCGGAGCCGTTCTGTTCATTGTACAGATATTTATATTAAAAATATAAAAAAAAAAAACTGTGTAGAAATCTGATTTATACTCCAAATTCTTATATTATTTAATATAGTTTCTGAATTAACAAAATCAATGTTGAAATGTTTATATTCATATCACAAAAATAATTAAATAATTACTTTTTGGACAATGTGAGCATGTGTATTTATGACCAGAATGTTCCTTCTCCATGTGCTTGGAAAACCATTTCTTAGACATAAATTCTTTTCTACAAACTGGACATACATTCTTTTTGGAATCATTGGGAATTTTATCCTCTGTTTTCAATTGCACCAAATCATTTTGTATGTCTTCCGACACAGAATCTATCTGGTTATTTTCAACCTGAGCTGATATATTTTTGTCTACTTCTGGTATCGTTTGCTCATAATTACTTACTCCAATAGATAATTTGTAATCTGGTAATGTTAGTTTTAATTTATTATGTTCTTGGTGTTCAGAGTTTTGTAGTTTATCTGGATTAATTATTATTCTAGTTTCACTTCGAGATGCCATGTTTTTGAGAGTTATGTTTACATTTTGTGCTTCTTTTATAAACGTGTAACAAGATTCGATTTTAATAACGCAGTCGTAACAAAATTGTTTCGGTAATTTTTCATCATCGGTGGCCTAAAGATAAAAAATTAAATAAATGAATGGATAAAATCAAAGCTTCTTCCTGTAAGTTTTTAAATTTATTTAACTCAGTATCAAATAGAAATAAGTTTTAAATCTTATCACCTTAATATTTGTGCAAAAACAAAACATTTCAACGACTCCAGCGCTAAAATTCTCTTTCTCCCACGACGCAACTTCCTTCATACAACAACGACATAACTTAGAAATATCCATGATGAAGTAAAAACAGGAATATATCCTTCTACTACAACTACTACTTCTTCATGTTGTGATCGATATTTATTTTGTTTGTTTGAACTTCGACGACTAAACGTCAAAATACATAAAACGGTAGCGTTCAGATGTACCAAAAATGACAATATTTTTAAGCCCCTTGCATAAATATACAGTTTTTTGATAAATAATTATTATATTCTACAAAGATTTGCAAACGTACAGCATTTATTTTTTTGTCTTTATCTAAATGAAAATATACACATGCAGCAAAGGAATATCATTAAAACACAAAGTTACAAGAAATAATTTTATTTCAAAGCGGGCACCGGGACTGTAACTCGTTTTGTTTCGGTTAAATATGGTTTTAGAATATCCAGTCCCTCATCTGTTAAAGGAGACGCTTCAAGTAACACCGGCGCGTTCGGTAGTTCATTGCACAGCCGAGTGTATTGGAGCATAAGTAACGCCTCATTGCGCATTTGCCTGTAGGCTGCATCCATTTTGCTCAAAACCAGAATAAACTGTAAGCAATTTCGTTTATCAAAAATATCAAATAAATTTATATTAATGAAACAAAAATACCTTTGCTTTTTTTAATTTCGGCTCAGCTAAAAGGGTGTAAAGCATAACCGCCGCAGAAGAAATTTGACATAAATTGGAAGTGTCCACCACGAATATCACCTGAAATGGAATAAATATACATGAAGCGTCATATAGTAAAGTAAACTAAAAACAAAATTTGTACCGTATAAAACAGTACCTTTTCCACTCCTTCATAATAATTACTCCATAAAGGAGCCATTTCCCCACCAACTTCTCTAATGCTGAGAACTTGTTTCTTTCCCTGTTTGTTAATGTACGGGACATCGTAAATATTCGTTCCAATAGTGGGGACGGGGCTGTAAGTATAATCTATTCCTTCAGCATTCTGTATTTTTTTCAATAACGTCGTCTTCCCAGAGCCTTTAGGACCGAGACAAAGAACAGAGATCCTATTATCCGGATCGTCCATTTTGAACTTAAAAGTTTTATCAATAATTCATAAAACTTTCAGCTGGTAATTATTGCTAGGAAACTGAGGATTAGTTCAACTACTCACCGACAGATGGCATTGTCAAGGAAAACTATATTAAAATACATATATATTTATATACGTTTATTTTATTACACGGGCTCAAGGTTTAACTTGTTAAATATAAATATATATTTTAAATAAATATTTAAAATGTATATTTTTTGCCTTCAAAATTCAAGATCAATTTTTAACTAAGAAGGTTACACTTTATATTGAATAAAGTGAAAATTAATATATCAGAATAATAATATTCCCATTATAAGTAATATGACAACTTTTATAAGAGTGTAATTTTATTGTTTCAGTTTGCAGATAAGTTCCTACTGCTGCTCGCTAGAGGCGCTTCAAACATTGTCACTTCATTAACAATAAAGACATTATTTACTAAGAATACTTTTAATATAGTAAATTTTTGTGGTGTATACCAAAATCAATTAAAATATTCCTCAGCACGTGACTTTAATTTGCTAAAACGTCAAGTAATTCGTCACATCGGGTCTCGATGTCAGTTATCTGTGTTTAAATCATCTATAGAAGAAGGCCGTTTTGCTTTTCCCTTTACTGTATGTCCAAGGATGTAAGTTGTATTAATGTGTGTATGTTGTCATATGTCACGCACAACATACACATGTGTCACGCGTGGTCACACCAATGAGAGCTGGTGGTGCGACCTCGGAGCTGTGGCCGTGGTCCGCGTGGGTCTAACATTCACTAGCAAGTGTCCGACCGAAATCTTATCGACCTTAAACTTGCCTTACGTAACTCCTAACGTAATTTTCGGTTACTAGTGATGTGCTTGGATCACTTGTTACACTTCTATGACAGATGTCAGATCGAATATATTTAATTTGAACGCACCTTTTAAATGTCTATCATGTTAAGATGATATTATGAAGGACTTAGTTTTGATATTAAAATATTTTGAGGTCATAAAATCGATATGAATATTTATTTTCGTTAAATGTAAACAACATAAAATTGTGTTTAATTGGTAGGAAGTGTTTCGCTTATGGTCGAATCGTTTTAAACACAAATCCGGAAATATCACTTAAATTCCAATTTCGGCAAGGTTTTACGAAAGATAACGAATTAAGGCAATTCTTAAAGGTCGTCATATTTCAATGTAAGACTTTTAAAGTTAAATATTAATTTTAAAAGTTCAAACGATGTCTTTTTGATTGTTAAGCGCGGTTATTTGGACGCATGCGTGTCTCCGTCCCTCCCTACTGTGTTTTGAGGTTAGTAACTGTCAGTCGTACTCGTAAGCCCGCGAATTTCGGCGCACGGGGCTGAGTAAGTAGGACGCGACCTTGACCCACTGACTCACTGCCAGCGACCTATTGTTTTTCAACAATCAATAAATAAATAATAAACCAATGAAAACTCTATACGATGGCACATTTACGTAACGTGGACTCATCAGTTTATGTACGATTTTTAAAACCTTTTAAATTATTCTTCCACAGTGAATACTTTTTCTGTTTTAATTGTACATTATATAGTAAATATAATAATAATCAAAATATGAGTGAACTATATAGTCGCATATATTATTTAGTTGCTTAAAACTGATGTATTCCGACCTTCACGGTGCGGGCTCCACACTTACACAGCCAACACTACTACGTATCGATGTGGAACAGAATTTTAGAAAAAATTAAGTGAAGGCGCGTCTCGTGGACAATTAAGATTCTAATTGTATACGGAGATCTGTGAGGAGTGAGGACGTCAGACGGATTGTTGAATGTGGCGAGGGTCGTGAGTGGCGACCTCGCGCGGTCGGAAATAATATTTGGCTATTAAACATAAGAAATAAAATAAAAACAATGCAACAGCCGACCTCGCCATTGTGTGATTATCAGGTTAAGATAATCACACGAAACTAATGGAATATATGGCCGGCTGTGTGGAACACACACACATACACACACACACACACACATACGCGCGTATACATATAAAAACAACGAACTAATATTGAAATTGTGATTGAATCACAATAAAGTTTGTATTATTTTAGTTTTTGAATTTAAAAAGACCCTTAATTTTAAAATGGTTGAGATGAAAATCGATGAAGCCATTTATAATAAATATAATATTATGTGGCTAGCAAGGTACCAGTTTTCAAATTAGTTATAATTTGTAATTATTATTTTTCTAAACTAATATGATATGACGTCAACAATATTATTAAAATATATATCCCGTTATGTATAATTAAACATAATATATATTCTGTTAATCTGTATATATAATGTATTAATTATCATTGGACATGATTTGATCTCTTTGATTCAACTTAATGAATTCTGATCTACAAGATTATACGTGTTCTAATAATTAATGTATGTATATTGTTAATATTTCGCCTAAAGTCAATTATAACACACGCTATATACAAAGGTCGAAGGTCCGGTCAAGGGTCAAGGTTCGATTGTCTTAGATGGGATGAGTTAAATCTTACAGCAACTAGTTTGTGTTTGGTCAGTTTATTTGTATATATAACATATATTTTGTAATTTTTTGGTCCATAGAAAGGATGAGTTTAAAATTTAAAATTTTAAGTGAAGCAAGGCATTAATCTCAATATACTGGCGATATTTTGCCTAATGTAAAATTTTAGGTAAATAAATTATATACAGACCAACCTCCGTCTCAAAGATAATGAAATCAAAAGTACTTCTTATAAATATACTAGCTATTGCCCACGACTTTGTCAGCCTTAGTTTCATAATTCGAAATGTATACAGGGTGACTGGTGAATTACTATCAATATTTAAGGAGCATACTCAGTACATGATTCTCATTCGAATTATGTAAAAAAAATAGGTACTTAAATTTTGACCAAATTTCCGTATAAATAAATAAAGTGTGTACACGTTCCAAGTGTTCCAAGTGTGGACGCGTACGGCGGCGTGCTGATACAACACTACGCCGCCACACGTGTGTGTGTGCGTGTGTGTATACCTAATCTGTAGGGTGTTCATACGATGCGTAATTAATTACATAACTTTTGGTTAACTTTACTTAGAAGTTTATTAATATTTATATTTATATATATATATCTTTAGTTAATGTATATTTTGTACATATGAATGCCAACCATCAGCACATGTACATAACAATACATAATATATCATTAAAGGGCGCGCACTCGTGACATTGTATTGTTTGGACACGGTGAGGACTGAGGTCGGCTCATTGAAACCTTTCTAACTAATGACCTACTGCTTGATATTTAAATATATGTTTAAAATAATATACAATTAAATAATATTGGAGAATAAACAAAGGAGAAGTGGATATTTAAACTAGAAAAATATATATTGACAAAACCTTTTTACATGACCAGACTAATAACTAAAACTATATTACAGAGTTAAGACAGTAAGAAAATATTTTCTTAATAAATAATTCGACTTAATTTGTGATGACTATTTATATTTTAGTTATTTTACGTGTGAACATACAGACAACTAGGTTTCAAATGCGTTGTCATCTTTCCTAAGTTTTATATTAAAAAAATATTAATATTACATATTGTTTAAAAAATCAATAAAAAAACTTTTATCGCGTTATCCTTAAATATAAAAAAATCCATATAAAAATATCTCAACGATGTAGTTTAATATGGGCAACATTTTTATTTGTTACTTAAGGGTTAACTTACAAATTTCGTTAGCTGATGACAACTGACAAGTTGAAATAGTATGAAAAGACAAGTATGAACTTGGTAATCCCATCGCTGATGATGAACGTCCTTGCTGACTGTATATAAGGCTGTGAAGAAGGCTCTCCAAACATATATTATACCGCGAGTTTTATGATTGTCTCTTATAAGGCTTACGGTGTTACGCCTCCGGTAAACGTAACACACAGCTTTGGAACTAATATCGTAATTGATATAGTAAAGTAAAGTAAAATATTTTTTCCTCCAAATATATAAAAATATATATCATAATCCTATCGTTTTTACAAGAAAGAGTAATTTATATAAATCTAATATTCCGAAACTACGAGTCGAAGTGTAAACCCAATCTATTTAGGAGAAATTTATCAAAACAATATAAAGACAACTTCCTTTATAATATTGAATCTTATTTTTGTTCTAGAAATACTACTGAGAAACATCTACAGTATTTTGTATAAAGTAATATGGTTTATGATTATTCTATTACTTACTATGAATTTAATAAAAAAGCTGTGTTTAAAAAAATTATATTTGTTAACACAGAATCTTCTAAGAGGTAAAGAATGATTTAGTTCTGCTTCACTTTATTTAATCTCCATAAATTGTTAGAACTTAGAGTCGGAAAAATTCATAATATTTATTTGGTTGAGTTCCTATGAATACAGAATTATGATACTAATATTATAATACTAATTTACACCTTGTAAAAGTAATTTGAATGATTGTAATAATTATTTGTTAAAATTAAAGTTAACTAATTATTTTTTCCATGTTTCTTGACAATTTCAATGCGCCATCTTCAGTCACCACATATCTGAAACTATAACTTAGAAGCTGTCAGCAGTAAAGTTTTGCTATTTAATCAAGAAATAAACTTTATATGTATCTAATATGTTCTTTTATATTATTTATATACTAAAATGTGTAACAAGCCACGTAATACGGTGATAGTTATGTTTCTTGGATTGAAAATAAATATATTTTAATATAAATTATATTTTATTTACACCTGTATTTATTTAAGTCTAGGATGCTTTAACCGACTTTGATAATTAAATTGTAGGTTACAAATTATTTTCGTAGAAATAATGAGGTGAGATGAAATAATGGATACCATTAATTTTGTTTACCAAAAATTTATATATCCTTTTTTATCTAAATTATTAGAACTTTATGATAAGAATTATCAAAAACAATATAATAATTTTAAGTCGTACATATTACTGGAAATATTAATGCAAAGACGTAATAGGTACAAGATAATATTTATCCAAGTAAATCCGTGTGCAGAAGCCAGTAAAGAATGATGTACGCAACTTGTATAATCGTAGTATAGTAATAATATGTTCCCGCGGAATGTGAACGTTCTTTAATAGCAACAACATAATATTATCTAACAGCCAGCTGAACATCGAAAGTATCAAAATTCCTAACCTAACCCAAGCACGCTAGCAACATGGCCGCCAACATGGCCGCCAATATGGCCGTCAACATGGCCGCTCCTTTCACCGACGCGTGACAGAAAGCGACAGTGTGACGTCCGAGATAGTTTCCAATTTATTCATTGATAAAGTAAACTTAGTCCGCCGTTTAGTGTTACAATACATTACTATCATTATATTTTTGATAATATAATACACTAATATATATATTTATGTTAATGGAAGATGTCTTTAAGTCAATCAAATTGTTATTATTTTCTCTCCTAGCAGATCTTAAGACTTATGAAATAACTAACGTATTAAGACGACAGTATGGTAGTTAAGTCTCGTGTGTATTAGAGAGTAAAAGTGATCTTAAATCACTTATCGAAATGGGAAGACTGAGAGAATTCTTTTAAAATGATTATTAATTAAAATATGACAAATAAATATTATTAATGTAATTAAGAAATCCTCTTTCTTTAAGGCTTCAATATAATTTATAAAGTTCGCTAACTCAGAGTACAGTTTGAAATGTGTACGAAAATATAATTCCTGAAATCATTTTTAATACAAATAAAAGTAAACATGAACGTGAAGGATATTATTTATGATGGCTTTTTCTTTAATAATACATACATAATGTATATAATAACGATATAAACCAGACGAGATGATGTTACATACTGATCAACGATCTTTAGAAAGAAATAAAAGTAAAATCGAATGAATACAATTACCAAAGAAAAGTATTCGTAATCATTAAATAATACTATAGATATTAAGGAGATCGCGCGAGTGTAAGGAAAGAAAGATCACAATACTTTTGTCAGTTTTAGTGCAAATTGTCATGTAAATATTTCTGTTTATCGAGTATGTAATGTTACAGATTATATTATAAGAATATAAGGTTATCTATCTGAAGGAACAACATTTGTGTCAACAAACCATCCTACTGTTATAATGTTTGTATAGACTTGTTGACGATCACACGAGCCAGGTCGACGGCACACCAGCACACCACGGAGACTGGAGTGATGAGACCAGCAGAACGGAGAAGAACAGATATTAACGAGCCAAATCATATTACAATTGCTAATAACTGTGCAATAATTGATAAAAAATATGACTAGCGAGCAATCGAAAGAGAGATCCGCGGTGATATTCGGCAAGCGGGCATCGTGTTAACTATAAAACTTTATTGGTATCAGTGCACGCAACACTTAGATTAATTAGTCACATTTTTCTATCGTCCGTCCCGGTCTGGCCGGCCGCTGGCTGTATGTCCGTCCCTCTCCAAATGAACAAAGTGGGTGTTATCGCGCGAAAGCGGTCGCGTGCGCGTGCGCCGGTGAAAGAGTCGATGACCTGCGCGGGAGCAACGAACGTCTTTGCGCGGCTCCCCCCCCCGCCCCGCGACACTCCCCGTGCACCCCCCGGCCGCACGCACCGGCACCACATCGAGCTGATGATATACGACAGAAGAAACAATGATGCATACCTACAGGCACATAAATATACACGTGATCTAATGTTGGATGACTCTAAATCAGCTTCCGAAAATAATAGCAATGTTTTTAAAATTAGTTTCGTTAAAATATGTCGTAGATGTGTGACGGATGGATGTGAGGCATACGTCTGTCAGCGAGTGTTCACACTGATGATGAGTGAGGTAGAGTGATCTGTGGAGACGTAATGAGAAAGAATTTAATGTGTTTAAAAACTAGACGTAGCGTAATAATAATAGAAGGTGGTGTTAAGGCATGTATTGTAGTCGAGGTAATAAATCAAATCTAACCAGCTCTATGTGATATAATCTAGCGATGCATTAGACGCACACACACGCACGCACACACACACACACACACACACACATACATCTACACGCGGCGCAACTAATAGATGCACTAGGCCGTGGTCACACTGTGGACTGATCTAGGAGTTGATGCACTTCACTATCCTTGACTACCCATGGAGATATTCACTTACATTTGAGTGAATTCTTTCTTATTATTTACTCAGTCGTATTCAACAATAACAAATGACAAAATATTTAAATGCATTTAAGTTTGAAGCAATTGTTATGTATTTCATTATTATGCGACAATCATTGTTTGAAAAACTACACTAGTATATAAAAGATCGAAATCTCTCTCACAAGTAAGGTCCAGTACGTATACTGTATAGTTTATACTCCCCGAGTCGACGATGAAGCTTCAAAGATCATCATAAAATCATAACTTTCAGTTTCCGAATATAAAATCGCCCTAGGAATAGTTCGCGGAGTGAAAGTAAGATCTGGTGTGTGCGGCTCACACACAGACGGAGCGCGGCTAGTGTCGAGTTGCACGGCTCGATTATTGTTGCTGAGAAGACTTAGAAAGCACTCGATACTTTATTTAATATTCTCCCATCTTACTGACGGTCACATTTAATTATAACTGGGGATGATGATTGAACTGGTCCTTTATACGAATTGAACCATTTATATATAATAGATCTGTTTAACATATGTACATCATGACTATGTTTATTTGATTTGAACATTCTAGATACGCAAGTATTCTCTGTTTATAAAGATAGTGTATTTATCGAAACTACTGAATAGTATGAGACATAAATGAAGATATCATTTGAGAGCAGGAGAAGGAGATGAAAAGCATCTTTTCATTCTGTTTAGTGTAAATGTAATGTTTCTATGACTTGTGTCGTCGTATGTAATGGTCATCAGTACTCTATGTTTGTATAAATTTCTCTGTTATATAAAATAAATCACAAGTTTCCACACAAGATAATACAATTAAGCATAATCCATTACGTGTTAGTGTGAGTGTTCAGCGATGCACCCCCCTCACCCCCGCCCCGTCACCCTCCGAGGAGTGAATGCACTCTCGCCGGTTATGTAAGCTGCTCTCGCGCAGCTCGTCTGTGTGTGTGTGTACTGCATCTCTACTCGTTGATTAGACGCACACATCCATACGCGTACATTGTAAGCGAAATTATTTCGTGTTGTACATACTTTTTTTGTTATATTAATTTTCTGCGATGAATCTTCGATCGATTGTTTGACGATAGAACGATTATTATAAATAATTGTTATTCATCGAGACTGAGTTAGATAAAAACATATTTAGGAATAAGAAACTGGAAGGATCGAACGGTCGGGAAGAATCGTATGCAAAGTTATTCACAGATGATTGAAGAAGTGTTCATTCATTTTGAAAGTTTACGACGAATATATGAAATAAAAAGTCGATAAAGTAGAAAAAGATAAGGAAGAGAAGAGAATTTAGAAATTTAATACATATTTTTTATTCGTTCAAATTCTTTAAACTTAAACATGAACAGAATTAAAAGAAAGAACGTAATATGTAATAGCTTATTCTGCGGTACTCGTCGTTATGTGTTTAGATATAGTTTATGCAGCTTTGGTTTCGGACAATGCGAGGAAGACAGACAATGCTGGCTCTGTTAAGTGGAGCCGGTTACCCAGATATCATTTGACTAAATGCTTCCATGTTACCTTACGTCGATGTCTGTAAACCCATTTGTATTAGACCCCGCATCTTAATAATGTCAACAAGTATTAATTAACTAAATTTACCTTCAGTAACAAGTGGAAATAACACAATGTAATGTTACTCATCTTCATTCCAGGGTCCCTACTTCCTAGATTCGATTCCTGATCGTGTCTATGATCTTTTCACTCCATATTTTGAATTTTATTTCTTTCATCAAGTTACGTCACGTATCTACAAAGAGTCTAGGGCTTTATTATGACATATTTTATTTGATAGTGTTCAAAATAACTTGCTCTTTTGTAAATTTGTAACGAACAGAACGTACAATTTGTTCTATCAACATTAAGGAGACAGTTTTTCTGTATAAAAATCTATATAAGATATAATAACATTTTACTCAGTGATACAAACTTGAACATCTCCTATCACAAAATCATAAGTCAGTAATAAGGTACAACCGGTTAATCTATTAACTGATGTAGTAAATTAATTTCAAACAACATACAAGAGTTTAGGATGGAGAACTATACATTGTAGAACAGCTTGCTGCTCGCTCCACACAGACTTAGTTAATAATAAAACGAGGCTTATAACTTACTAAAATCAATCTATAATTATTTTTTATTTACTACTAATGATTTAAGTTCTTTTCATATTTAAATTGAATACAAATTTCGGTTCGATTGTTCATCAGGATCGTCATGTTTTCCTTTGTAACAACTGTTGATGAGAAGAAATGTGACCTAAACACGTCTCTGAAGCAGGTATAGTTTTTAGACATAAACGGGTAAGGGTATTTGGAAGTACTAAGTAGATTAGAACTCCCAAATTCCCAAATTTGTGTTCCATTCCTTAACTTATTTCATATATATATTTTAAACTATACAATTGAACTATTTGTTTATCCCTACTAATATTCTTCTTCTACCTGGCAATTTCCCGGCTATAGCCAGGGTCTGCCTTACGTGTTGTGAATAGTTTTGGCTAATTGTTTTTTACGACCGGCCGCCTGCCTGACATCAACCCTCTTTTGGGAAAAATCCCTGCTACATAATATTATAAATGCGAAAGTAACTCTGTCTGTCTGTCTGTTACGCCTAAACCACTGAACTGATTTTAATGAAATTTGGTACAAAGATAGAGTTGACCTTGAGAAAGAACATAGGATAGTTTTTATCCCAGACTTCCGAAAGGTTCTCTTGGAAACGCGATATAACCGAACTCCACGCGAACGAAGCTGCGGGTGGAAAGCTAGTATCGTATATGTGTTATATATTATTCTGTTTCATGTTTTATACAAAAGCTTTATACTATAACTATATTTCGTAGTAAAGTATATTATAATATAAGGTACCTAGGTTTAGTATAGATATCTATTTTTAAAAACTTTAAATTATGTATGAGCGGTAACATTAACACTCGTCTGACCTCTGTTCATAATAAAACATATATATAATATGTATATTGAATGTTATTATTAAAAAAAAACTACTAATATAAGAACTAATTCTAATTGAACAACAATTAATGTTTTCTATATTATTATTTTTAAGATATACATATTTTTAATATCGTTGAAAATTTAAATTTAGACTTATATAATACATATATGTTTTTTAATGAGATTAGGGCGTTTTCATTTATTATTGTATGAAGAATTTTTATTTAAATAACTTTTACTGTAGACCATATTTTACCAGTATTTTAGTAATTATTATTTTAAACCTATTTATTATATAAATAAATATATTTATTTATATTTGGTTGTATGGGAGCAAGCAGTATTCACAATGAGTAAATAACCTCTTGGAGTACTAGGAGAGCATGATTTGCATGGAGCTAGTACTTTCACTCGGTCGTTTATGTAACTAATGCAACATTGCTATGAAAACTAAACTCATATACAACACGAACCACTGGCGGCTTGCAACTGAACCTTGTATGTACTTTAAACATTATATGTATTGAAATTGTTATTTGAAATAAAGAAAACACTTTTTATTCTTTAAATCATTAAAATAAGAAAATCAGACAGTGTGTTTTAGAACTTATATATTAAACAACGAACTTAGGAAAATTAAACGAACATTTTCGAATACTACACTTTTTTATTAGTTTTATATCTACATGATCCCAAAGCTTCGGTTACTTTACACCAACCGTGATCACAGGCGATGAAAAAATCACTTTACTTGATTAAAAAAAACGAGTAGAACCCGAAAAAATAATTCTCATTTAAATGAGTACACAAGCGTATCATTTATGTTACTTTTTCATTGATATTAAGATTTTTTATGAGTTTAACTTATTAACCGTAAAAGGAAAACTCCTCGTCTCAGGAATAACATTTAATAAATGGAAAGTTTGAACATGAACTCTGTGTAATCTCAAAAGAGCAATGATTCGTTATTGTCACAGGTCACGGCTCAGCACGAATTATACATAATGATTTGAGATATACAATGTATAATATATACATATATATATATATATATATATATATATATATATATATATATATATATATATATATATATATATATATATATATATATATATATATATATATATATATATATATATACCTTGTGTACGGACGATCAAGATTTTAAGAAGAATAGAGTATTGCACTGATAGCGATTCTACGATTATAATGCCATCGAACTATAAGAATTTTTTTTCGAAAAGCTTTTAATAGGAATATATACGTATATATTTACACAGCTCGAATGAACAAACGGCTTATAAATAATAATCACTAAATAAATCTTCTTCTTCTACCTGGTAATTTAACAGCTTTAGCCAGAGTCTTACATGCTGTGAATAGTTTTGGCTAATTGTTTTCACGACAAGCCGCCTACTGACATCAACCCTCTTTGAGAATCAATAAATAAATATATTTTAAATATTATACAATCACATCTGTTTAAAGTTTTGTATGTGATGAGTGTCTGTACGTATCACTGTAAGGAATGTATTTTTAATGATCCTCCACATCTTCAGAGTGTGTTATGTAAGTGGGAGTCGTAATTCAGGACTGCGGTTTGGGTGTGAGTTTACGGACGCGGAGTACGCTACTGTTATAACTGACATATATGTATAAACATATATATACGAGGATTTAATACTATGTTATTATTCAAAGTAAATACTCCCGTACTATGACTCGGTAGACCTTTGATGATGACATATATAATCGCGAAATTGGTATGAACACTTGCAAAACTCTTAGATCTCTCCCGGTTTCAATTCTATGACATTTTTTTTTGATGTCATTATTCTTTCTAAGCTATCTGAGAGGTGCGAAGTTAGACATTTTTAAGATGTTTATTGTGGGCGGTCCTAGAGGCAGAATCCTGTTTTATCATGTTAGAATGTCGGTACTCTTTCTGTTATTTCAAGAAACACCAATATAATATAGAATTATTATCAGAAAGTCACTGTTAATAACGGGTGTCCCATCTAGCGTTTCGAATTTGAACTAACGATAATTTGACATTGGAGACGTCAACTGTCATCGGAGAAGTGTCACATATTTAGTAATAAGTCTGACATTTACGAAATGGGTCGCTATTCGCTTGAGGAAAGCTGGGAAATATTAAAAAATTATTTCCAAAGTGGTGAATCGCCAACGCAAACTGTGCGAAATTTGAAAAAAATATTTGCCAAAAAAGATTTGCCATCGGAGGCATATGTGCGGCAATTTGTGAATCGTGTGCGCGAAACTGGATCACTGTTGGATAAAACAACACGTAAACGTCCATTTCCAGCAAGGTCAACCGAAAACATCGCTGCGGTGGAACAAAGTGTTCGTGAACGGCCATCCACATCGATTCGTCATCGAGCGCAAGAGTTGCACCTTTCTCGGTCAACTACGCACCGAATTTTGCGCAAAGATCTTGCCCTGAAGCCATATAAAGTTCAGTTGGCCCAACAGCTGAAGCCAATTGATCATCCGAAACGTCTACGGTTCGCAAATTGGGCGGAAGATCGTTTGGCCGAAGATGGTGAGTTTTATCGAAAAATCATCTTTTCCGACGAGGCTCATTTTCACCTCGGCGGTTATGTAAATAAACAAAACTGCCGTATATGGGGCACAGAAAACCCGCACGTCGTTGAGGAGAAACCGATACATCCACAACGAGTGACTGTTTGGTGCGGATTTTGGTCCGGCGGCATCATCGGCCCATTTTTTTTTTGAAAATGATGAAGGAGCCGCCGTAACCGTCAACGGCGAGCGCTACCGCGCTATGTTAACTGATTGGTTTTTCGGTCAAATGGAAGAGTATGATTTGGACGATATTTGGTTTCAACAGGACGGGGCTACGTGCCATACAGCCCATGCTACGGTCGATGTTTTGCGCCCAATCTTCGAAAATCGCATAATCAGCAAAAATGGTGATGTGAATTGGCCTCCAAGAAGCTGCGATTTAACACCATTGGATTATTACCTTTGGGGAGCGGTCAAAGACGTTTGTTACGCCAACAAGCCAAGCACGATTGATGACTTGAAACATGAAATTGAAGTTGCCATTGCTGCCATAAGGCCGGAAACAATTGAAAATGTACTGAAAAATTGGACTGATCGAATAGGGTACTGCCAAGTAAGCTGTGGTGGACATTTGACCGAGATAATTTTTCACAAATAATGTCATGAATTATGCTTTCAAATAAATGTTTGATCATTGAAATCTATCGAGTCGTTCTTTTTTTATAGCCTTTTTAAATTCGAAATTTTCCGTGAGACACCCTATAGTAACAGACTAGCTAGTCCTGTGGCTTTAATAACCTCGCAATTATTAATTATTAAACACTTTTTACTATTTGTTTTAGTATAGCCATAGTACGTATCGTCATCTGGTGGTATATATCGGTACCAGTCGATCACAGAATGTGACATGACCTTCTGATTTGGCGTCACCATGAGCTCGGACTTGACCAATCATATCACAATTTGTATTGAATATTAACTATGTAGATGAACTTCGACGTTTATTATCACGTGGAGCTCCATCACAACTCACATTGAAATAGTTTATAAGTCATAAAGTATGAAATACATATTTTTCCGTGTATTCGTGGAACGTGAATTTTGGAAACGGCGTGAGGAAGTAATTAAGCGGTGCCCTTTTCTGATATGCAGCAAGGTTCACGCGGCCTCCCCGCGGCCTCCCGCGGTGACCTTACCCAAGGTCGGAGTGCACTAAACTTTCGTAACTTCGCACGATCAATTGAACCTTAAAAATTTGCGTCGAACGTGCTAAGTGGAGGCGGGTCAAACAGTAGCGAGGGTCACCTCATGGCTGACTGTGTTGGACTCTTTACTCCGATGGTAATATTATATGTGGGCAGGCGACGGCTCCGGCTCGCTAAAAGGAAAACCCGCCATCCTTGATCGTGACAGCGTTTCTTTGAATTAATGTACATATTTATAGATGATTCTGGAACAATATTCTGTCAGCCTTACACGACAAACATATTAAGGATGTCCAAAATACAGTTTAAATATTAATGGCGCGTTCGATGACAAACTAATAAGTCATGTAATATGTTTCTATTACCACGTGTCAAAGGTCAGGATGGAGGTTCACATCTAGTGAGCGGATCTCACTCATGGTGTTGAATGTGTACATGGTGTGTGTATGGGATATTTTAACATCAGGGTCGCAGCGATACAGTACTTTCACTTTAGAATTGCACATTGTGTCTGGATCAGGCCGAGGACTGTGGAACCTAAATATATATATACTATATAGTATTGAAATTGTGGGTGAAAAAATAATTTATATTATACAGCTATCAAGTTTTCATTTGAAGCTTACCACGAGTTGTGACGTCACACTACATACTCAACGTTTACTGTAAATCAATTATAATTCTTTATAATTCTTCACACATGTTATAGCTATGTGAATGAAAAACTATTAACTCTACGTATCGTGACAAACGCCGACTATTGGTAAGAGTTGGGTTTGTCAGTTCTTCAAATTTGACTTAAGTACCTACTATAGTAATTGAGACTGTGATTATATATTGAATATCTCAGAATGAATTTAAGATAAGTTTGAGTGTCATCTTGTTTCTGATGCCTTAAACAAAACCTTACAATACACTTTCAAAGACTAATATAATTATATATATAATTATTTGTAACAGTTAAGATCTGTTACGTCTCTATATACAGTGTAAACTCCATATAACGACACTCGATTTAACGACAAACTCTCTAAAGCGTCGAAATCATTTGACTTTGGTTGGTTTAGCTTGTCTACCATACAATGATACACTCTATATAGCGTCACATCCACTCTCAATAACGACAAAATTAAGTAATAAAAAGTACCCTTTAAGTTGCTAAAATTAGTAAAAAATGCGCAGCTGTGTACGTTTTTTTGTCGCTTTGTTATCCTAGCCCGCAATAAATTCCACTGTCGTAATCATGCATACCAAACTTTCTAAGAAATTCGTTCTTCACCAATATGCCTCAATATCGCAAGATATGAATAAAATACGTAAAAAATACAACAACATTACTGGTGCAGCAAAACACGTCAAACAAAAACAACAGACTTCATAACATTCTTTTTTATGTACATAAGTACTAACAGTAGTCTGAAACAAACTTTGTCTTTTTCTAATACTGATTTTTCTTCCCTCTATTTAACGGCAACTCTCTATAACGCACTAAAATGCACGGTCCCTTCAGTGTCGTTATATAGAGTTTACACTGTATATAATTATAAGTTTAAATTATAAAAATCTTATGAGAGAAAAGACAAGTGAAATCTAAATCATTAAAAGATCTCGGATTTGTTGATCTCTTGGTGCTGTTAATGATTGTGCAAATAATTATTACGTACGTGAGTAGTGAGTACTCTGTTCACAACAACTTAAAAACTATGAACACTTACAACTATACAAGATATTATTGATTATGATAATTAGAGATATACATGGGCATTTCCTGAATTACATAATTTAAATAATTTCCTATTTTATTTTGAAATGTTTTAATTGCGTAAGTGACGACATTGCTGTTAAGACGCGCTTATTTTTTTATTATTAAGTATCGTTTAATTTTATATAGGTACAATAGTGTGACAGACATACATACAACACAGTCCGTGTGTCAAACACTTATGGTTATGTCTAAACTGTCGAACTTACTTACTTAAGTATCGCTACTGTTAACCTTATATTCAAGCAGGTAATCCTTAACCATTTTAAGGCAATCTAATATTAAATTAATTGCTCTCATTTAATTAAATGTACACAATACTGATGACGTAGTTGGGGGAAAAGAACTCACCTTGACAAGCTTCCGCAGCCTCGCTCGCGGCCGCCAGCGCTCGGCTCCTCTCGGCCATGTTCGGTCGTCGTCGGGTGTCCTCGGTCATCGTCGGCCGTCGTCGGACCCGGCGGTCGTCCTTAGGCCTCGGCCTCGAATCTCGCGGGTAGCGGGGCGGCAGCGGCGGCGGCACGAAAACGCATACATTTCTCCGTGCCCCCTCCCCTCTAGTTTGGAGAATAGTATGCGTTTCCGTGCCGCCGCCGCTGCCGCCCCGCTACCCGCGAGATTCGAGGCCGAGGCCTTACAGTAATTGCTACATTATTTCACTGATGAGAGCATAATTCATTTTTAGGGTTCCCTACTCGGAGGTTGATGAGAGACGCCGTCACTAATTATCCCTTATTCGTTCTTTCGTTGTATCTCAGTTGCTATTAACTTGAATCTGCAAATTTAACCTCGCATACTTTTTGTGATTTTTATTCTTATATAATTAAAGTAGCGTACTTTTTCCTCCTTAATCCACTGTTTTTGAATGCAGGTACAGTTAATAGATATCTATACATATAGTTTTTGAAGGACATAAACATAGAAAACAGTAAATATATATACATATTTATATTCATTTTGATCCATCTAACTATTCCTCGTCTATTAACGCCAGTTTAACTCCTGTCTGTTTTATTTTCTATAATCTGTATAAGGAGCTAATGTTTCTGTGATCAGTATCAGTGACGATGCAAATCGGATCGACATTATAATATATACTTCACGAATTACAAGCTGTGCGTAATAATTTAAAATAGTTGAAAGTAGAAGTATTGGTAACATGTTACATAATATTTTGTAAGAATTAATTTCTATATATTTCAAACTTTTAAAATCATACTTTCTAGCTTAGAAAAAATTTAGTTTTAAATAATATAAGGATATTGGAAGTTTGATTAAATAAAAGAAAATTATATTACAGATTAGAATGTATTTGGAAAAATGATTTGAAGTGGAAAACTAGAAAAATTTTATAAGTGTGATATAAAACGAGCATAGTAAAAATAAAGTCTTCTTTACAATGTTACCTGAATAAGAAAAATTAAAAGTTAAGCGTCGAATGTACTTAATTGGTTTTGCTAATATATTTATTTTCTTTCTTTCACTTACAAATGCTACAAAAGGTGGAACTGATACTAAGATACATATGTATATTACTAGTTAGGTTGTAGAAAAATATATTTGGAGGCTCTTAACAAAATTATAACAGAAATTATTTAAGACCAAATACTAAATTAACTTTCTTCCTGTAACTATATTTCACCGACAACAAATTCAGCTCCAAATCAAAAGTTTTGTTTATCAAAATTAACTTTTTAATAAAACTATTTTTCAAAACATTTTCTTTTATGTTATCATAAATATAGAAGAGTTCTTTCGATGTAAATCAAATTATAAGACTTCAATGAAATGCCACTAAGTTTTATTTAGCGTTACTATAAACCTAAAATACAATAAAAGTGATTTTTTTTCCACAATATATGTACGTCTTAAGTCCGTGCTGTATAATGTCACATGGTGGTTCATCTCATTGACACCTGAATATTCGGGGGGTGTGAGTGTGAGGTGTTTCAGGGTTCCGCGGCGGGCGGCGGCTCACCGTTCAGGCCGTGAGCCGTGAGCCGTGAGCCGTGAGCCGTGAGCCGTCTGGCGAGTGGCGACTGGCGACTGGCGGCTGGCTCGGCGTTCAGTGACTCGAGGCACGTTGAGCGAGGAGCACGCGCGCCGTATCTCAGTGACGAGTGTTACGTGCATCGGATTTTATATATTGAATGATCGTATTGATATTATATTGATTCTTTTGGTGTTTGTGGACGGATGTGTGCATTTGGATTGCATTTTGGATGCGGTGAGTTCAGAGGCCATGTTTACTACGGCCGTGTCATTCACGAACTAATGTTATTATAATTGTACACTCCTGATAGTCTCCGGGTCTGTTGTCTGAGTTCGCGTTACGTTTACGCGGAACCTTGTAAATTATTCCAGGATTCACGACCTCGAGGTTTTTTTTCATAAAGTTTATAGTAATTATGATCTCGGATCCTTGACATTCACTTTTATTTATATTTTTATATTGTCCGTAGTCACACTTGTCGTGTTTTAAACTTGGCTGTAATTTGTTTATATTTTATTCGGTCGCGAGATGAATAATATTTAATGATTATTTCGTGTTATATGTGTGTATATAACAATATGAGTATGACGAATATTTTTAAAACATCAACAAATAAGGTACAGAAAACAAAGGCCGTGAGGCTCGCTGATGAATGAAGAAGCGAACTTAGCCGACCTTGTGTTGTTCTGCCACTGCGCAGTTCTTCATACTGAACGATTTATATTAAATGAGATACATTACTTACATCAAATAATATTAAAAATTTGAGACATACCAATAACATGTTGATACGTATACTAAATAAACATATTTATTAAATTTAATTCAAAATAAAAATAGTTCTTATATTACCATTTCGCATTTGGTATTCGTTTTGTTGTTTAAAATATTTGCAAGTACATATAGACTATATTATAAAAATCATAATTTGAAATATATTGTTTTGTCTGTCGCCACTTTATTATAATCCATAAAAATAAACAAACTCACTAAGCTTCAATAATAACGTATAAGACGTAAAATCGCTTAAAAATGTATATTTTAGTAATACATATAATAAAAGCGTAATAACACGTTAGCTACGAAAAAAAAATTGATATAAAATTTCATAATTTCAATTCCACAGGGTCAGTCGGTCACGTAATGGTATTAGGCAACTCATAATACAATAACAGACACACATTAATACTCGCTAGAGGCTAGCCCTGTTGTTGACGGAGAGGTTCATTAAACGACAGTCAGTGTTGTAATGATAATCATCAGCTCCGTACATCTTGCGGAGTAACAGCTTATACATATAACGCCTCGCTCCGAGGACCGGCCATCTTGAAACTATATTTTCCCGCGCTTTTCAAACTACATACTCCGATACTAACTTATATCTTACAGTTTTTCCATTGGCAGTATTTATCCAAATTTTCCTAATACGTCGATAATTAAAGAGTAAGGTCGTGACGTCATAAAGGAATAGGCATATTAGCAAACTATAATTAATAACAATTACTTACAGATCGAAAATATTCGAATGTTTATACCTGTCCTAACTCTCGCTACAGCAGGTACCACCATTTATTTTGATTGTCGAAACCCAAGTAAGGTCATGTTTCAGTTCATTATTCTATGTCCTTCAATATTTTCCTAAATAAAAGCTTCTAAGAGCAGTATCATTGCAATTTTACTATAATTATAAAGCCGTGCTTGTCATCATTCATCCATCTCGCTTCCTCCTCATCATCCGGGGCTGGAGGAACAGGGACGAAGTCACTCGTACTGTAACTATGATAAGGGCAAGGTCGCTCATCGTGTGATAACTGCTTATCTTTCCGTCCTCACTTGCATGTTCCGCGGTTTAGCCAGGTTCTAAGACGGACAGACAGACGGTACATTGTATGAGACATATATATGTTAAACAAAAATAGTGTCTATAGTAATATATTAATAAATTCGTCATCCATCCTTGTGTACCTAATTGGGTCACTGTTAAAAACGGTTTATCAGGACACATGACATCCAACTGTCTTGAAGGTCTGAATTTATGTTACTGATAGTGGATTCAACAGAAACGTCTTTAATATTGTACATGGATCTTTTTCGACACTCAATAATACATATATGTATATTATGTACTAAATTATATACATACAATTATGTAGTATCGTCTTCATTAGTTCCAGAGTTGTAATTAACTTCCACTTTCTTACAATGAGATCATTTGTAGGAGTCTCTTTAAGTTTAAATGAAACTAATATTTTTCGAATATTACTTTATTTTTTATGAGAACTACATACTCCTGACTTTTCGGCTACTTTACATCAACCGTCTTGTTATTTATCATCTACGGCCATTACCTCTTAATATTCTGGCGTAACGCCTGGATATAGAGTAAGAGTAGTATATCCAAAAAATATTAGTTTAATTTGAATGAATAAAACTCGCGAAAGCCTTAGATCTCATTGTCTCTTTAAGTTGTTTGAGAGTGATGCTGCTTGATCTCTTCTTATACATACGTCTTTTATCTCGTTACAAAAATAGTGTCATCGGTGTTTTATTCGGATGGTTAAAAAACTTTTGCTCATATAAAATAATCATATACATAATTTTTCCATCAAAATAAAAAAAACATTCTTTAACATATTTTCAGAATATTCGTAGAAAATTTACATTTATTAAATTATTTTCATCCTGGAATTAATTACGAGAAATCGAATTAAATTTACTGAATTAAAATGACAAACAAATAGAAGAAAATATCTACATAGGTATATAGTACGAAGGGTTATCTATAAGCTATAATAATAGAGGGATCGTCGCACGAATTAATAGTCAATAATTGAGTAAGTGGCGGAGAGTGAAAGTGAAGCGAGGATTGACTCTCATTATGTTATTAAACAGAACACTCACTTATGTCATTACACATACATATATACTTGCTTATGTATACTATTTGTATATATACGCTTCTTACTAATGAGTTAACAACACACAATATACGGCGTCTCTCTATGTGGTGTAACAATCGTTTTGTTATAAAAAATATATTTATTTTGACCACCCGAAAATAGAGTAGTTCGTTGACCCCGATGAAAGGTTACATGAGGTTTATCAATGAAAGTTTATCAATGAAGTAACCGTCACGTGGACACTCCATGGACCATGTTGTATTAGACTTCTTGATATTTATAATATATACTAGTTTTTGCCTGCGGCTTTGTCCGTCTTAGTCTTAGTCTTAGCATAAAGCTCACATAGAAATGAGTTAGTATATTAAGGCAATATATGTATATAATCTGTCATATTAGTTTATACCACATACAACAGTTATGACGTGATCCCGCGGGAACTCAATGGAATAAAGGGATAAATTATAACCTATGTCTCATTCTGTTGTTTAAGCTACAACTCTGAAAAGTTTCATGAAAATCCATAAAGTAGTTTTTATGTAAAAGATCAACAAACATCCATCCTCACCAACTTTATCATTTATATTTTATAATATTAGTAAGAAATATTATTAAAATAATTAGACTAGCGTACATATTTGGTATATTATTTGAATTATTGGAATTCCCCAAAACACCAATACTGCTAAACATGAATGAGAAATACGTGTTTCTTTTTCGATATCATCGCTTAAATAAATAACGTGGCGAAAACGTGGCAAATTATTGACAATTAAATATCCAAAAATTTAAGATTTTAACAAAAATAAAGTCACGTTTTAGATTTACTGAAAATAATAATAATATTATATAAATTTATTTTGAATCAACGCACTAGAAACCTACATTAAAAGTCATCAAAGAAAATCTATGAGTCAGTTGAAGGCCACTGTGTATGTAGCGTCTTTATATAAATCCCAAAATAAGAATCCCACATAATAATACAAGTCGGACGGTCCTAATAATTCTAATCTACAAACGTCAAGGTCTGCGAATTTTTCTCCAATATAACGCTCTCCTTGACACACATCGCTGATGCGCACACAAAAACTTACGCACCGCGAAAAATGCTACGGACTAAACAAGGGCAACGCGAGTGTTGCCACTCGTGATGATTAACGCGAACATTTATTATTATTAATATTATATGGCAACATTACATATTTATAATAAAAACTATGCTTTAATAAACGTCGCGAAACGAATTACACTTCGATAGCGGTTAAGAAACTCGTTTCACGACGTACGTGACTGTTGGCTGTTATGTCGACTAATTAAGAAACCGATATTTTGACTGAATAATCATATATTATTATTATTTATATGTATTGTAAATAAAACTGGAGAGAATTCTTTGAGAGAATAATTTAAAGATTTCAGCAAGACTATGAAATGTTTAAAATGATTATAATGTATGACCTCAGCGTCCGTTGTTTGCCAATGTTCAACAGGTAATTCAATGTTGAATAATTACCTATCTCGAAAGTCGAAACGCTCGTTTGTGTTTTATAAAATGTCCGAACTCCGACGTATCCCAAACTTGAAACAAAATGATTATAAATAACAGTAACCCGAACCTGTTGTTCTATACTGAAAGGGTTGACGCCATTGAAAACATATTTTTATTATTTTTACGGCCGTCCATACTATTGTCTAATCTATTGATTGTGATGGAGACAATTCTAAAAAACTTTCTTTTATGGCCGCTCGTAAAAATCTTTCACCAAATTATTTAGGGACGCGTTATAAGTAACTGTTTGTTTGTGAGGTCACTGATGCTGTACATTCTAGAACAATAATAATACTCCTTGTAATTTTTTAAAGTAATGAAATTTATCGGTATCTTAAAAAATTGGCAAGCCGATAGTAAAATTTGTCTATTCGCATTATAGGAGACTAATCTAAGCTGACCCCCCCCCCTGTTCCCCGGCTCCCTCATGTGTCGCTGTAACCAATAAAGGTGGGTGCGATACTGCTATCTCGGAGGTCAGGCTGCACTGGTCCGTCACGTCAACCTTGGCCCACATCGATACTCGCCCCTCGGATGTGCTGATACCGACTTCCTAATAGACGCCGCCCGAATCTATTTCATTCATCGATCATACACACAACCTATATCCTTCGTCACCTGGACGTGTGACTATCATCAGCTATTAATAATACTTCACTGTCTTTACCAATTCGTTTTCAACGCCGTTTAA